GCCAAGTGATCAACAACTTCATTACCACACCACTAGTACCTCATGGTTACCTATATCACTTTGCACACAACTACCAAGCTACTAATCAACTCTTACAAAACACACACAAGTGCTATTGAGTTACAGGGGTGTCACCCTTCCCCCCCACACCACTTAAAACCCAAATGCAAATCTGCCCCTCTTTGCCCTCCCACAGCAAATCTCTGCAACCCAGACCTGATGGAGAGTCCAGCAGCTCATCCAAGGAGCATCACTCCAGCATCCCAATCTTCAGACTTCACTACCATGCACAGTTGCTTGTGCTCCTGCAGTCAGCTGCTCCCACCTTCATTCTTTCATTCCAGGTTCCACTTTTTTTGCCATGCTCTTACCTCCCTTCCACTAGTCTCCTCCTAAATAGGCAATCCGCCCCAATTACTCCTTCCCTATTGGTCTTAGTTTTGCTACATCTATAACAGCATCTGGCATTTCTGATATTGTTACATAGACAGTCTCAGCCTTACATAATATTACTGATACAGTGCAGGTGGCCTTGCAAGGTTCTACCCTGCAAGAGTTGCTTCACTCTCCCCCATGATCTCTAGTTCGTCCTGTTTACATATTTACTTTACACACTCCAAGACAAAGCATTCTACTTTGGCCTTGATTCCTCTGCCTAGCTCCAGTTTCCTACCGGTGCTGTCTTATCTCACACAGACAGTTTCAACAGCAGAGCAACATGTTTTACACACTGTTTTTGTGCTGTCACAGCATCCATTCCCTCAGCTGCTAGATTACAGGGTTTTGCCCTTGACATGCTCTTGGTGTCCTACAAAGGCCTGAACTGGTTACACAGCCTGGCTCTCCACAGTAGGTTTTCTCTGTGAACAGACCAGCACCCAGTGCCACAAACCATTTATTTCTTAACTATATGTGTTTGAAATGCACTTGAACCCACATTCCTGTGCATCCAGCATTGAGAATGTGTTTAGAAGCCAGAAAGGCATAACTTTTTATGCACTTGTACTACATCTTCCCATGGGATAAACACCCCAAACAATAGGATAGGGCAGGAAACGGATTATCCAGATTTTAGGGTTGTGTTACATATCATCACTTCAGTGTATAAAAATGCCTTCTGGTACAACAGCAGCACACACTATTTCTAGCTCAAGTTCAAGCGTCTGAGCTAGAATTACCCATGAGAATACTGCTCTTACTGCATCCCCCAAGGCAAACAGCTGCAGCATCTGCTGATCTACAACTCTAATACATTTGTTTTGTGAAAAAAATATCCAGCTACCTTCTGTTATAGCCTTTAGACAATACAGAACATAGCTCACAAGTAACATCATTGATTTTTAAATGGGAATCAAAAGGCAATCTTCTGCTTCCAAAGCGGCAATCACTCAAAGAAGCCCTTCTATGTCACCTTTTCCAAACTAAAGGCTTTAAAGCCTACCACCAGCCAACAATAACAATTTACCTTAGTATCTTTCTAGATAGGTTACAGGCTAGAGCATTAGCATGAATCAAGGCCCAGCCAAGTTATGCAACTCTACTTGCATCTACTGGATACAACAGCAGATGTGCAGGGGTGAAAGGCATCACCTCCAAAGGGATTTAAGCACTTCTGTTTACAAAAACCCAAGCAAAGTGTAGAATACATTGGTCATACACTGCTACTACTGCAGACATTTAAGCTAGCACTAGTACTGTTTTGCCATTCTAACTGATAAAACATTGCAACATAGGCCAGTCTTTAGTCATAAGCACAGAAAACAGAGAGAGGCATTTACTTGGTGGGTATGTACTCACATCCTGAGAAAAACCAACCAAGATGATGCCTTCGCTTAACCAAGGAGCAAGAAACAGCAGCACGCACAAAGCAGCTTGCTTTCTGCAGTCTCCTTTCACTGACCTACCTGAATGGCGCATACAGAGCTAGGAGATGCACCAAGATACCACACTGCACCTTGCAGAAGTTTTCCTGTAGTAACCAGGGTTGCAATACCTGCCTAAACATGCCCTTGTACCTAAAGAAAGCAACAGAAAGCTCATTCCTTCTGCAGTTACATTATGTGCACAGATAAGGAGCCTTAACCCTAGCTACCTGTAAAGGCTACTAAAGCTAACACAAGGTACATGCTTCAGCTAGCTAGATGCTTTAAAGAATAAATAAAACAAAGTCCTTGAACAGAAAAGCTCAGGCATAACAAGGGTAAGGGAATGCATGTAAAGAAACAGCCAAAGTCAGCACATGAAGCCAGCATGAAAAAAACTTCAAAAACACTCACCAAAACTTCAGGTTCTTTCCTAAAGCAGTAAAACACCATCCACAACAGAGCTGCAAACCCTGAAATTGCAGCCTGAAAAGCATGGAAAAGAGCCCACCACTAAACACTGCACTGATGAACCCTCCTTCTTCTCTATCTTACCCCACACACACAGTCTTTGCTCATGCTCAGCTACAGGTGCCTACACCAGAGGTATTTGTACTCACTGCTCATTCAGTAGGCTGTAATTAAACAAGAAGCCATACAAATGGCTCCCATCAGCACTATTGTAAGCACCTGTGCTGTTGTGGGCCTTCACAGTACAAATCCCCATACAGGTTTGATAAGAGGACTGGGGCTGCAGGGCCAGTGCATCACCACTCGGCACAACTGCTGCATGGAGCACACTCCCTGAGGACGCTTAATGCCATGCTCTGCTGCAGGTGATCTCAATAGTGAAATACCTACAAATCACTCCTTAATTGCAAACCCTATTGACTGCAGTTAATTGCTTGGCTTTCATTTATAAAAATTACCTGTTCAGGAAGCCAACAATGAGTCTAATACATAGAATCACTGGGAGGTAGCAGGATGCAATGATACCTCTCTGAATATAGCAGTTGGCTTTTGCATTCATTTTCTCTGGTGAAGCTTGTGAATAGTTGGGTGGTAGCAGGCATTGCAGTGAGAGGGTGTTGATGTGGATGCTGAAAGCAGCAACTGTGTAGATGAGGCCTAGTTAACATGGTTTAGTGGTGATCTTAGCAGTCCTGGGGTAATGGTTGGACTTGATTTTCTTAGAGGTCTTTTCCAACCTAGCTGATTTTGTAATTCTATGATTCTAACAGGAGTTGCTTGAACTAAAAGGTCCAAAGAGAGATCTTTAAGTAATAAAGGACAACTACAGTCTCTGTGTTCTGGACAACATGGGAGGTAATGTGAGTCTTTGGAGAAAAGTATAAACACCTGCTAGCTAAGGCCAGAGACAAGTATTTGATGATTATGGAAGGCCCCCAGTCGCCACGCTCGTTGTTTTATCCCCACTCAATGCTTTAGAGGCTCTCTGGGAGCAGTGCGAGATGTTCCAGGTGAAAACACACAAATCCGCTGCCTCCATCAGCAGCCACCATGTGCTTCCCAGGTGGTGGGAAGCCTAGGGCCACCTTGCCTTCCCCTCCCCATCGGCACCGGTGCCAGCGGCCTGGCCGAGGAGTCTGGTCCCCGGGCGCGGCACCGTTTCCATGGCGACCGCGCCCCGCCAGCCGGATGGGTCGTAAAGTACCCGGCCTGCTCCCGCTAGACAGACCCCACGGAGCGATTGCTCTCGGGGGGCGGGGCTAATGCAAATGAAGCAGCCACCTCCCCGCGCCGTGCCCTCACAGAAGATGGCTGCCGGGAGCGGGCGGCTTCATTTTCCAGGACACAAGATGGCGTCGGGCCGGAGCTGACTCTGGGGTGTGGTGCCGTGCGGCGCGCATGCGCGGATGTGCCGCCTGGCGGCGGGACGGCGGGGGCAGCGCCGGTGTCGGATGCAGGTAGGAGGCTCGGTTGCTGTGTCCCCCCCTTGCTACTGTGCTGGTCTGGCGGAGCGGGGTGGGGGAGATCCCCCTTAATGCAACAGGGCAATCCAGCTGGGGTGGGGATTTCCCCGCTGTAGTGGGGCTGCCTGTGTGGGGTGAGGGGTTTCCCCCGTCCCTGCATTGGTAGAGCCCTGGTATATACATCTCCTCAGTACTCTGGACGGTACCATATGGGCTAGGGGTGTGCTCGCTCCCAGCTGTCAGTGCCTGTGTGCAGCGGCCTCAGGCGTTCTGTCCCCGCTGTGGAGCCGGCCGGGGTCTGTCTCCCCTTTGCCTCTCCTCGCAGCGTCCCGGCAAGGAGAAGTGTCTCTGTCCCACTGCACTTGGAGGTGCGAGGCGGGACTCTGGCTGCCGTCTCCCATCACAACCCCAAACTGGCCCTCCACCGCCATGGAGCAGGAGCAAGAGCCCACCAACAACCGTGGCTGTGCCCTGCTAGACCTCCCCTCAGCATGGGGGCCCTGCGGATGGAGTGCTGCGGTGCCACCACTGCTTGGGCTTGGGCTTGGGCTTGGCCTCTCAGTGGCCAAAGAAATGGCATCCCTATCTGTGTATGGCATCGCCTGGCTCCCTGCTTTCCTTTCCTGCTCATGGGGTGTCAGCTGCTTTAGCTGGGGACCTAGTGCTATGGGTTTTAGGCCTAAATGCCACAGAGATTTCTGGTGGCCTCTGCAGCTGGGCTTTCCTCAGCCCTTTGGTTAGTGGCATGTGGCCTTGTGGCTGCAGCTGGGGCACTGGAGGGGACTGTGGCTTTGGATGGTTTGCAGAGGTGACTGATCTCCCTGATGAGGTGATGGAGATGTGTAGTAGAAACTCGGGGTTGCTGCACTTGGGCACAGTGGTAAAAAGTTACTGTCACCTGGTGCTTCCTATTGAGTCTTAACAAGAGCAGGCAGTATCTGTGCAGTAATCCTGTCTTCTAGCTTCTGTGATTCCAGTCCTGGAGGTTGATTTCAATCAGGGTTTCATATTTACTTCTGAATTCATAATTTGAGGCCAGAGTTACCTGGCATTGGTTCCTGTACCAGTTCTGTGAAGTCTGATACAGGATTAGAGCTTGTAATTACAGTAATATCATGGGGAAACAGTTTTTAATACATCCAACATGCTTTCCTTACACTGTAAAACATTGAATTCTTCAAGAAAGGGATGCCCCATGCCTTACCAAGTTCCAGGACTAGGAGATCTACACATTTACCTCTATTAATGAACCTCGTAATCACATTAGGGAATGAGATCTGATTTAATGAGATTGCTCTGCTGGAACACAGCTCTGCACAAACTACCAGCTGGCTTAAGATGTTAAGTGTCATTTGTGTGGCAGGTGAGTTTATGTGTATGAGCTCTGCAGGCGTGGTGGAAGAACCTGATGGAAACACGAGATTGCCTGGAGCAAGAAGGGTGTTACCAAACCTCTCAGGATATGGAGGCATCTGTGATTGTTGGATTGGTAAACAGTACTGGGAAACACCCTCACGGCCTCTTCAAAGTGGTCTGTTTCCTTGTTTGATCCTGGTGCTATCAGGTTTTCAAGGGCTTCATTGCTTTACCATTCAGATACTGGTCTGCTGTTGGGCAGTTTGTTAGTGTTTCACGTGGGACGTGTGTTTGGTGTTCCATCAAGGATCTCTAGTGGATTATTTGAGGAAACGTGGTGTTAGGTTTTCAGAAGTAGTACATGGAGAAACTGAGAGTCTTGGAAATATGTTTATCTCTAAGAGGGTGCACAGGATCAAAGTTTGGTCAGAGGAGCCTAAATTTTGTGCAATATGTGTTTAGGTCGCAGCTTTCCTGGGATAGGTATAGGGTTTTGAGACACTGTTTTTGGTCCAAATGAAGGCACCATATGGAGGAACCAATGTGGAAATGAAACTTTCAGTTTCATTGTGAAATAGCTCTGTGGAAGGATGTGCCTTCTTACTGAACACTGTCCTGCCAGAGTCTAAGTAGCTCCATGGGGTGAGGTATCTGTGCTTTGGAGGTACCGTGTGCAGGCTGGGAAGGAGTGTGCTGAACCTGATCTGTGCTCACAAAACTTGTCACTGCTGGATAAGCCTGACCAGATGAAGACATCTGTGACTGTTTCCTCTGGCTGAAAATGTCACTGACACAATCTGGGAGGAACTCATGTGCCCAGCATCAGGCACTGTGCTGGGACAGGTCATGGTATCAGCTGTTCCGTGAGTGTAGCTCCAGCCCAGCTTGCCTGTGCATGGGGCTGGAGTGTCAGCACCCCAATCCTGTCTGGCCATGCTGACTGTCTGGAAATAGTGTCACTCTTTGGGTTGCTTATCCAGCTGGTGGATTTATTGTGTTGCAGATGCAGAGACACAGAGCTGGTATATTTATCTGTTTCTCTGCTTCAGCTAGTGAGCCACACAAAATCCAGAATATGCAGCTGAAACAGTGTATTGACAGCTGGAGCAAGCACAGACATATCATGAAGTATTACTTGGGATATTCCAGCCTGCATTACCCACATAGTGGGGAATGAATGGGAAGGTCATCCTGTTACTGCGGTCAGGTTTGCAGATGACTATATCAGGTTCCTGAGTGGCAACTTCAGCATATAGGAATCATCTGGTCCTGCTTAAGACAAGCTTGGGCCAAGATTCACATACAAAGCTCTGCTGCTAACTCAGTACAGCTGACTTCAGCTGTGGAAGGCTGGAGCTCAGCCCTGTTGCAAGGCCAAAGGGTTGCCGAATTGCCATGGGATGCAATGACTTGTGAATCCAGCTGTGAGCTGGTGAGGAAGTTAGAGCAGATGTTCAAGCCCTAAATGGTGATGTGTTTCCAGCCACCATATGCCAGCACTCAGACAAACCGGCTCTTTCCTGGTAGCCAGTATTCAAACATCCTTCTCAAAAAGATAATATCTGCAAACGTCACTGGCAGGAGCCAGATGTCAGATGCGGAGGTGGAAGGTTCTCAAATAAAGGCTAGTTGCTTTCTAATTTACAAGCTTGCTGCTTTATGACTGTGCCTTAGAAGTTCAGTGTGAATGAATGATAGCTGTTCCCTCCTGCAGCTCCTTTGCCCGTTACTGCTTAAAAGCCTAATGTTGAAAAGTTCTGACATACTCCATGAGTAATTCTCCATCCCAAGGAAAAGGTTATGAAAATACCAGTGTGGCAAGCTTAAATAACACAGTGCTTTGGATGTAGAAGCAAAATCATAGTTTTTACAGACAACTATGATTTGTTTCGTTTCATCTGCACATTTACAGATGGGGAGGGGGGGAAATATATATAAAATGACTTAACAGCTATCCCAGCAAAGTGAAATCACTTACATGTCAGCTGGCTGGAGGGGTTGCACATCTGTGAGCGAGTGACGAGGGAGAAGAAGAAGTGCAACTTCACATTCTTTAAACATTCAAAATGAGGTGTCTCTGTAAACTTCAGCAGCTGTGGTTTGTGCAACATGTGCTTAGTGAAGCATCATTCGGGTGGATACAGTATGAAGTGCAGCACTAAGGACCAAGCCTTAAGCAGGCTTTGCTTCCAAACAGGATTTGGGGATCAGAGTCAGGTTAAGAATTGCCCTTGTGGATCAGACCACTGGTCTGTCTCACCCCATGTTCTGCCCCACGATGACAGCAGCAAATGCTGTTTATGAGGAGAGCATGTGAGCTTGGCCGTCGCCTGTGGCCTTTCCACTTGTCTGCCCCTAGTTTGTGTAGCCCTCGGATTCAGGATGCTGGAGGGGATTTCCCTGCCTGTTCCCTTTAGTAGCTGTTGGTGTACAGCTGTTTTCCATTAAATTGTCCAATCCTTTGAACCTGCTTTGGCAGCAGATGTCAGATGTTTGCTACCTGCCAGGTATTTTTTGTGTGCTTTAAACTGATTTTCTGTTGGTTACAGTGTGTGCTCCCAGTTCTTGTGTCCTGGCACACAGCACTTCCAGCTTCACCATATCCACTGCACATGGGACTTAAACCTTGGTCGTGTCCCCCTTCGGCCTTTCCTGCCCACCTGAAGAGTCCAGCTGCTTAGTCTTTCATCCCTTAAGCACTTCAGTTGCTCTTCTTTGTTCTCCCTCAACTGTATGCTCAGGAAATTCGTATTGAGGTTAGATATACGTGGCAGGGTCTGGATACACTGCAGTTTCATATTGTGCAGAATGATGCTGTCTGCTTGTTCTGCATCCTGTTCATGAGTTACCCAACACTGCTGGCTTCACTGCCATTGAGCCAGTTGTCTGCAGAAGGCTCTTGGTGAGACAGAGGACTCATCGATGGGTCAGTTTGCTTCACTCCTTTATCTTTACACATCACAGATTCTTGATTCCTGTGCAATTCATGACCATATAAAATGCAATTTCCCCTTGAGGCTTGTCTGTCTTTAATTACACCTATAAAAGTTCATTGTCTGGCTGAATTCCCTTCCAAGCAGTGTCTTCCTTTTATCTGGCCCTGGGTTTTGGCATAGTGGGCGTGTGGAATGGTGGCTTAGCTCCACAAGGGCTTTGCAGTTGGATCCAGTTGAGGTCTGGTGCTTTGGCTGTGAGTGGAGTCGATGTGCAGTTTCAATCTAGTGATGCAATTGATTGGAACAAATGTCATTCCTAATCCTTCTGAGCTAGTTATGAGGAATACCTTGGGCTAGGCAGAGCAGATGGTTATTTTTGCTTTTCTGATCTTGCCTAGAAGTGGTCAGACTCATGGCTTCTGGGAAGTGCTGAATGGGACTGGTGTTTCAGCAGGTTTCATACCCAGCTGTGTATCCTTCCCCTTGATCTTCTGCTTGGACTTGATGCAGCTGATGTTGCAAGCCCAAGAAGGCTGACTTGGTGCAGAATTTCCCATTTTTGATGTGCTTATTCTTATCCTGTGTGGTGAAGTCCCCATCATGTATCTGAGTTGGATGAATGCAGACCCTGGAGGGCTGAAATAGGAGTGACTTCCAGCCTTTTATCTTGCTTTTGACAGTGTTAAGATAGTGACCTTGTTGTCACCCATCCTGCGTATGCTGTGAACAAGGCTCCTTATGATGGCACAGGCTGGAGAAGGCGACTTACGCTGATTTAAGAACCCTTACCACCTCACCACATACACAAGTGCCTCTGAAGAGGTGCCTGTGTTCTGCCTTTGGTTTGCAGCAAATTGAGTGTGAAAGGGAGCTCAGTCTGAAAAGCACGGGAGTACATGGTGGGAGAACGATGGAGCCATCTCCTGGCCCTGAGCTCCAGTCACTGCCAGCCTGAGGAGTCCCCTTATACCTCAGCCTTCTGTGAACATACAGCAACCTGTGTTTTTCCACTAGTTTTATTTCCATACATATTTCTGTCCAGCCAAAGCATCTTTATTTCAAACACTTACCCTAAAATTCATGCCACTCTAAGATGAGCTGGACAGCTGCTGAACAACTTCTGTTTGCCTGTATGCCATGATGGCAGCATATCTGCTGCATGCCATCATGTTCTGGCTGTGTCTCTTCATGCCACAAAGCAGCACCACTGCTTGCCATAAATATCTCCTGTCTTAGCCAGCCCATTTGCAGTTAGCTGTGACTGCCTGGGGAAAGCAGCATGTGCGTGAGGTTACATCATAGCTGGTGGCATTTTTCTGTGGCTAAAAATGTACACAAGTACCTAAAACTGTCAGTGACGAGGTGTGCTTTCTGAAGGCTGCTTTGCTGTTTGCAGCTCTGTAGCTCGATTCCTCCTGTGAAGAGCTGGAAAGAGCTAATTGGCTACTTGTGAGATGAGGAAGAACATCACAGGGTAAAGGACAGGGCAGCCTGGTCATGAGGAGAGACTTGTACCTCTGGGAGCCCACAGCCTGGCCTCTGCTTAGTGAAACAGGTTTAGTGCAGCAGACAGCTTTTAGTCTCATAAGTCCCCTCCAGTCCATTTTGAACAGCTCCTCAAAGCAATGTGAATTCTGATCTCTGCAGGCAAAGACTGACCAATTAATTAGATTCAACTGTTAATTAGTTTAAAGAAATTGAACCTGGTTTAATTGACTTTTATTTTTCTGTAGGAGCAACAATGGATTGGCCCCAACAAAGATGTCGCAAGTGTTGGGATAAGACATCCCGTCTGAAATGGAGGTGATCCAGGGAGCTGAATGCTGACTGCACCGACATGGGGTTGCGACTCGTGGCTTGTATTTTCCATTTGCCCACTGCAGTGATCTACGGGTCCCTGTCGCTGTTTGTTTCCATTCTGCACAACGTGTTCCTCCTGTACTACGTGGACACTTTTGTCTCTGTTTACAAGATTGATAAACTGTCCTTTTGGATTGGAGAGGTTAGTCTTTTCCACAGGCTTCTGCCCTCTTAAGTAAGAAATTGTGAAACCAAACCTGCTTCTCACTTAGAAGGGTGAAGAGCATTAGCAGCAATAACAGTGTTCTCCTTTGGAGAGGGAGCAAGGGAGCCTTCCAAGTGCTGGCTTGGACTTTTCAAGGTTTCCCGCTACTATAAAGATAGAACAGGCTGGGATAGAAAACCCAAAGACTTTATCCTTAAGACTGCCTTTCCTCTGGGGAGATTGGGGTATTTCACAAGCAGTGAAAACCACTGGCCCTGCTGTGTTAAATCTGGCAGTCACCCCAGACAGCAGAATCATTCTGTGGCGTGAGGCAGGCAAAAGGTGTGCTGGGATGGTTCTTGCTGGTTTTTCACTGTGCCAGCTCAACCCTGCTTGCTTCAGTAACAGAACAGACAGGAGCTGTCCTGTGCTTTGTTTCACTGTCCTGTTTTCTTTCCTAGACAGTGTTTCTGATCTGGAACAGCCTCAATGACCCTCTGTTCGGCTGGCTGAGCGACCGAGTGTTCCTTAGCACACAGCAGTAAGTTAACTCCTGCTTCCAGCAGGGGCTGGGGAGTTGTTCAGTCTTTGGGGGAGATGATGTGAAATTGGCAGCTTTAAAATGATGGTGTGGGAATAGTTTTCTGAGGCATGGAGCTCTTAAATACCTCATTTTCCTGGCATCTCTGATGTACAGTACTCTTTGCACGTTATTTCAGGACCTGGCTGTCACACACTTAGGTGGTAAATGTGACCCTAACCCTTAACAATCATATGAGTGATACAGAGCTTAAAATATGGGTGTCTGAAATACCAAGGCCCTGCTGTATAAGCAAACCTCTTAGTGGGGTGTTGAGGAGTGTCTAGGAGACACAGGGTGAAAGGACACTTATTTCCACCTGGAATGCCTGAGGCTAGTTATTCCCAAACTCCCTGTATCATGGATCACTGTTGGCCATTAGCATTTCTCATGTATTTACAGCAAGCTTTTAATGAAAATCATGTTGTAGCTTCCTGGAAATGGTGAAAACTTCAAGTGCTCATTGAAATTATTTACATGGTGCAAAGCACAGACAGTGCAGCACTATAAGGGAGAAAAAAATATCCCTTCATGCTTTTTGGCTTTCTTAAACCCATTTTTTCAGTGTATTCACATTAGCTGAGAAGGTGTTTGATGTGGGTGTTTGTTATATAAGCAAAAGCTTATGCCACTTATACCACTCCCTCAGAGAGGGAGAATCCATGGTCATGCAGGGTTTTGTCCAGGTGTTTAAAGATTTTTGCCTTCTGTTGCAGGCCAGGAGCAGAGATTTCCTCCCCCGAAGTAGTTCTGAAGAGACTCAAAGCACTAAGCCACAATGGCCCCCTCTTTGCCATCTCTTTCCTGGCTTTCTGGGTTGCCTGGGCTCATCCTGGTTTGCAGTTCCTTCTTTGCCTTTGCATGTATGACAGCTTCCTCACCATGGTCGACCTCCATCACAACGCCTTGCTTGCAGACCTGGCTGTTTCAGCAAAAGACAGGACAAGCCTCAACTTCTACTGCTCCCTCTTTAGTGCCATAGGCTCCCTCTCTGTCTTCACGTCCTACGCAGTGTGGAACAAAGAGGACTTCTTTTCCTTTCGCATATTTTGCATCCTGCTGGCCCTCTGCTCCATCGTTGGCTTCACCCTGTCCACACAGCTGCTTCGCCAGCGCTTTGAGTCTGGTGGGAAAGCAAAATGGGACCAGGAATCAACCCTAAAAGAGTAAGTGTCATCAGTTCTGCAGCAGGGTCCAAGGCCTGGCATAGATCTGTAGAGCTGTTACGCACTGCAGCAAACTAAATCTGTGGGAAGATCCATGACGAGGCAAACTTCTGTTAATCCTCTGTGGTTCTTGTCTGTTGATACAGTTTTCAGAATCACCTCTGTCACACTGGCTCCTAAGTAGGACAAAACTATCTCATGACACCCCTGGCCCAAACTGGAGTCAGAGCCCTGACCTGCTGTATGGCCATCCAGTGTTTGGAACATGAAATGAGCACCCAGTGAGGCCTGTGAGTGGCAAAAGATCAGAAGCAGCTTATCATGACAGCATTTGTGCTTGAGCATGAGGCTACCTGGATGCCCATTCCCTCTGGAGTGGGACAAGCAAATGTCTCTTACCCTTTTGCTCACTTTAGCTACCTGATAGTGGCTGGGCTGTTGGAAGGCCACGACGCAGCTGATTTGCCATGTTCAGCTCCCTTGCTTTTCTTTGGGCTGCCTCACTTGCCATCTCTTGTTATGAGCTGCCAGCATTATGCTGCAGTAACACAGCAGATCTTGATGAGATGTGCCAGGTGAGCTAACCACAGGGCTCTGGCATATATGTAGTGGAATGGCTAATAAAAGGAGGATGCTTCTATGGACAGATACCTGAATTTTGAGTTTGGAAGACAAATGCTGAGAGACCTGTTGCCTGTAGTTCTTGCTAGCAATAAGCAAACATCAGTGTAGACTCTACTGTTTTGATTTGGCTCAGGGAGAGGGATGATTGGGATGGGAGCTGGGAGACAGCTCTGCGTTTCCAAAGGGAGAGCTTGTGGGCTCTCACCTGCTTGGTGAGAAGGATTTATGGTTGCTTTTTCTCCTCTCCCTCTAGGCTGTACATCGAGAAACCGTCCGTCCCTCCGGAGAAGAGGATCACCCTGGCAGAGTATCTGCAGCAGCTCTCCCGGCATCGCAACTTCCTCTGGTTTGTCGGCATGAACCTCATCCAGGTGGGCACAGCAGCAGTTTGTGTGATTCAGAGGCTGAGTGTTGCCTCTGCCTGTTTGAGGTGGTGATTCAGCCGTGTATGAGTTCCCCCAGAGGGGTTTCCAGTGCCCACTTGCTCTTGGAGCCTCCTGCAATGCCAGCTGATTCACCAGCTGTTAGCCACTCTCCCTGTTGCAACCCAAGGATGCTTCCTGAGCAAGCTGCGGGGTGCTGCTTCCTCTCTCTGCAGCATAAGCTGCATTATGAGGGCTGGCTGAGCTCACCACAGCCCATCTGGGGTGCAGCAGCACAAGGCCTGGCTCGTGGTGGGGATGAGTTCAGGAGTACAGTTTGCTGGCGTGGCTGTCAGCAGTCTCCTTCTCCTTTCCTGAGGCTCACATCACTGTTCTCGCTGTCCAGCTGGATCCGCCTCCCAGCTGGCTTTTGCCATTTCTGTTCTTCATCCTCTCACTGATTACTACCAAATGCCGGCAGCCTGCCCAGCTTTGTGCTGCACTCACAGCTCCCTGTCTCCCTGGGGTTCCCTCACTTCCCCTCAGGCAGGCTTTTGATGCTGGTCTGCATCTTTGCATTCAACCCTGTTCCTGACAGCTGCCTCCTCCCTCCTGCTGCGCCACTGTCTTCCCCAGGCCCTTGTGGTCACCACTGCTGCCTCCTTGCCCTGACTTCCCCTGCAGCTGGGAAGCAACACTGATCAAACAGTGGGCATGGCTGGTGGTGCTGCAGCTTTGCAGTCTCAGCCTGCAGTGTTGTAAACTCCACAGCCAAGCTTTCACTCTGCTGAAGTGCTACTGGCCCACCCTGCATGGTCTCTTGGCACAGGGCTCCCAGGATAACAGAGGCCAGAAGGCTGTTAGCTTTTTCTGCTCTCTAACTGCTGCTCCTGCTGACCAGCTCATCTGCATGCTGCCTTCACAGGTTTTTCACTGCCACTTTAACAGCAACTTCTTCCCTCTGTTCCTGGAGCACCTGCTGTCAGACCAGATCTCTGTCTCTACAGGATCCTTCCTGCTTGGTGAGTCTCAGGTGGGATTGGAGGGAGCAGCCAGGTTAGGACCTGGCTCAAGTCTGGGTTTGCTCTTCCCAAACTCACATGCAGGTCTCTGGGCTATAAGAGTCACACGTGCACATGTCCCACATGCTTCCCTGGGACTTCTGTGTTCCCCTTCATGAGCACAGAAGTAACTTGGAGCCTTTTCTAGTGATGAGGAGCCCAGCATGCCTGACTCTGGCCTAAACTCCACAAAGGAGGTGTTCTAAGCATTAGTGGCTGCAGAGGGCGTCCCAGGGAGGCAGCAGGGAACACAGCCCTGGATCTAACCCCTTTAGCTCTGTGGCCTGGACCATTTCCAGGCTGCCACAGGTATGTGGGCATTGGTCCTAGAGTTACCAGGGGTACCACGGGAGGGTTCCGTGTGAGTCAGGACTGGTCACAGTGTCTGTCCCTCTCATTTCTGCTCTCAGCCCCTGTGTGACACTGGGCAAGTCTTTTCTTCCCTTTTGCCCAGGCAGTTACTGGAAGAAGGCTTCCTTCTATAGGAATTGTGTGTGTGTTGTGCCACAGAGCCACTGGGTAAATCTGCTGCAGCCTTCTGTATGTGCCTGGGGGCTATTCTGTACCATGCATCCTACAACACCACTGGTGACAGCAGCCCTGTTCTCTTCCAGTATCGGTCCTAGGGGCATGGTAGATACTGAAACTCCCTCAAGCTATTTGTGCCTCTGTCTCTGCTCAGGTGTTTCCTACATTGCCCCCCACCTCAACAACCTCTACTTCCTGTCCCTCTGCCGCCGCTATGGGGTTTATGCTGTGGTGCGAGGACTCTTCTTCCTGAAGCTGGCTCTCAGCATTGTCATGCTCCTGGCAGGACCGGATCAGGTGTATCTGCTCTGCATCTTCATTGCCAGGTAGGCAGCACTCCCTTCTCCTCCCCTCTGCCACCTGGGGAGGAAAATGACTTGTCCCTGTCTTGGGAAGAGGAGCCAGAGTCACACAGAAGCCACGTGGCTCCCAGCTCTGACAGCACCCAAGTGTGGGATGGGTCACTTCAGAACCCTCTTGCTGTGCCTGCAGCAGGGTGAGGGAGGACAGAGACCCAGCAGGGATGGTGGCAGCCTGCAGCAGCCTTTCCCAGCTGCTGAGTTCCTCACCTCTGCAGCCTCCCTGTGATGATAGCCCTGAGCTTGTCCCCAGAGTGTCCCATTCCCAGGCCTGTCTGTGTGGCAGGTCAGGAATGATCCAGGGCATCCCTGCAGGGTACACAAGGCTTATTATTAGCAGTGTTCCTCTCCTCTAACCAGGGCTTCTGAAATTCTTACGCATGGGGGAACCTTTCTCATCCTCTTTCTGTTTCCTCTGATCTCACTTGCTCCCATAATTTCTTGATGTCCCTACAAAGTACTTTGTCTGTTGTTCTGCAGCAACCGGGTGTTCACAGAAGGGACCTGTAAGTTGCTCAACCTGGTGGTCACCGACTTGGTGGATGAGGATCTAGTCCTGAACCGCAGGAAGCAGGCAGCCTCAGCACTGCTCTTTGGGATGGTGGCTCTGGTCACCAAGCCCGGCCAGACCTTTGCCCCTCTGATTGGCACCTGGCTGCTCTCTGCATACACAGGTAAGGGTGCTCCCAGAGAAGGCAGCGGGGCAGGAAAGGGCAGACTTTGTGAGTTCAGTGTGCTTCCCTATGTCCTGTGTGGGTGCAGAGGGCTGGGTCTGGTCTCTGCATCTCCGAGGCCAGTCACTTGAGGTGACAAAGGTCTGTCCCACCGATCACAGCCTCACAAACTCTACTCTGACACCAGGTTACGACATCTTCCAGCGCAACCCCTTGAGCAACGTGGTGAGTGCCCAGCCGAAGCTGGAGTCTCCTGCATTCCTGGAGCCAACGCTTCGCCAGGGCTGCTTTTACCTCCTTGTCTTCGTACCTGTCACATGTGCACTGCTGCAGCTCCTCACCTGGTCTCAGTTCAGCTTGCATGGGAAGCGCCTGCAGATGGTGAAGGCTCAGCGCCAGAACCTGACCCAAGGCCAAGCACCAGAGGTCAAAACGATCTAGGGGTGCCCAAGCTGGCAGGATGTGCCTGGGTGCAGGCTGGTGGGCTGAGACCACCCAATGTTTACAGCTCCACTGTGAAATGCTGTAATGCCAATCTTTATCCATTCCAAGAGGTGGCCACTGGGGAAGGCAGAGGAGTTCAGCAGGAGGGGCCTGGGGTAGATCACTTGGCCACAGGAGCAAGAGCATTTTATCCTGACCTGTTGTAGGAGGAAGCGGGGAGGTGCTGGGTTGCAGTGTGTGCTACAGACAGAGAACCACAGGGAACCACAGCGGCAGAGTGAGAGAACTGCACAGGGAGCCCTTCCTTGCTAGAGCCCTGCAACTTTGGGGCGTGGAGCAGGAGGCTCCTGGGGGACTGAGGGGGTGACAGCAGGAGCAGGGATGAGAGGACCCTGAAGGCCTTTCCCAGTAGATGCTACAACCTCTCCCACATAGTGCTGCAGTTCTTGGACCAAATCCACTAAGGCATTTCTTATTCCCAGGACAATATCCTGCACAGCCAGGGTCTGCTGCCTGTGCTTGTTTTATGCCGAGTTCCCTCCTTCGTAGCCTTGCAGAGGGAGCTGTTGCAGGCTGGGAAAGGCACTGGGCTTGGAGCCTTGAGCTGTGACATGGCATTTGGCATCCTACTGCCTGTGTTTATCCCTCCTTTCCCCTCCACAGCCCTGTCTTAGCACAGTGTCACACAGCCGAGAGCCCCCTCCCACTCTGGCAGGGACTGGGGGGGATGAGGTCAGAGAACCAGCCCCTAACCCATCCATGGAAGTGCCTCTCTGCCCAGGGCCCTCCCAGGTGACCGTGAGGCAGCCTGGCACCTTCCCCTCTTGCAGGGGGAGAGCACAGCCTGGAGGAGACACCAGGACTTGCTTTTGTGCCTTCGATTCCTCCTTGGAGCCTTAGTGAGAATGCTGGGCTGGCACAGGGCTGGGATTTTACCCTTGTGGGAGAGAAGGTATCTCAGATGGTCTCCATTTGAAATGGGGCTCCAGAGTGTGACCAGATCCGTGGCTGCCAAGCCATGCACCCGAGGAGAGCAGGTGGTTTTGGCTGGGGGGAGACAGTCCCCAAAGGGATCCCTGAGGTCAGGGAGCGCCTCTCCAGTCCCTGCATTGCATTTGGGGGTAGGCAGAAATGATGTGCCAAAGCAGAGCTCTGCCCTGTGTGTGCCTGCAGCAGGAGGGGCAGTGTCTGAAAGCGTATGCATAGGGATGTGCTGGTTAGTGCCAGGTTCCCTCGGGTCACCCACAAACCTTCCATCCTGCCTCAGGACACGGCTGCCTTCCGTCTTGGACCAAGACGTTCTTGCTGTGAGGCTTCTGTAGCTCTTGGTGTTCCAATCATTAAGTTATGTGCAACTTACCACAAGGTTTGGGAATGATTCTTCATTTCATAAACTAATCTTTTCTGTACTGCTTGGTGGTTTTATTCCAGTGGGTGGATGGCACCTGGCTGTGGTTGTGTGGGAGAACAGGGGCATAACTGCACCAGCCCTTGCCCTCTCCACAGTGAAAAACTGAGGTCTTGAGGATAATATAATGGTTGCTGGGGGGTAGAGCAGCTTTGGACATCACCAGTGCACACCACAGCTGAAGCCCAGGCCCCTCCTCCCCTCAGCCCAAAAGCCAGGCCAGGAATGTGATCCCAGACAAGAGATGATGTTTTCTAGCTGAGATCAGCCAGCAGCAAACCTGCAGTCAAGAGGAAAGCACAGGTTACCTCCTTAACACCGCACGTGGGGGAAGATGAAGCCAGGAGGCTTGAGGGTTGTATATGAATTATTTTATTTAAGTATGCTGGGCACCACCAGGCAACATGGTTTGGACAGTGTGCGAGGGAACAGTCAGGCAGATCAAACGAACGCTGGATCAGAGACGGCACCTTTCTGTCCGGTCACTGCGGGTTACAAAGTGGAGCACTGCTGCTTCTGCAAGGGCAGCAGTGGGGCAGGGAGCAGGAGGAGATCGCTGGCACTGCCTGGGATGTGCTGACCCAACCGAGAAGGGGGGGATGCTGCTTCTCCTCCACATGCTGCAGCAAACCAGCAAGGGGAACTGATTTTCCAGCAGAAGGCTGAGCATTGATGGTTCTTTTCTACCTGCTGGGTTCTTGCTTAAAACAGTCTGCTCTGAGGAGTAAGTGAACAAGCAGCTTGGTCTCACCTGGGAGGAGACCACCACTCCTGCCTGCCTACAGATCTGGAGCCCACTGGTGGGCCCTAGGAACATGGTGCCCACAGGGGGAACATGCTGCTCTCCCATTCACCTGGGCTGAGACAAAGGCACCCACTTTCTGACTCCTCTGCAGCAGCCCTCCAGCTCCTACCCCAGCTCTGCACTTGAGAGCGAGTGACCCCAGGGTGACGCATGGCAATGAACAGGATGGAGGGGAAGAGGGAGGAACCGCCACCGAGCAACTCCAGCTCCACTGCTACTGCCACGTGCTGCAGAAAAACAACAACAGAAAGAAAAGAGCACCAAATAATGCAGAAGACGAACCTGAAGGGGAAGCAGTGGCACACCCCAATGTAAGCAGGTCCATAGCCCTGCCCTTGCTTGTAGAACAGTAGAAGCAAAGCAGCCACCAGCTGAACAAAGGCACGCAGCCAGCATGACAGGGTCCTGCTCACAAACCTGCTGCTCACACCAATGTCCTGGTAGGGTTTATTGTCCTCTCCTTCAGTGCACTCATAGAGAACAGCAGTTACCGGGTGGCATCACAGGGCTGGCTGCTGCGCTAAGCAAGTGTGCTGTACACAGAGTTAACATCAAGCAAGGGACAGCTGGCATCAGGTGTTCAAAGAAGACCCAGAGCGTAATTCCCAGGTGCTGTGGTCAGTTATTTGAGATATCCTCAGACATTTCAATAAATAAAGCAATTTTTACATTACAATGCACCTTTCAAATTACTGGTTTTGCCCCAGAATGGATGAAGTACACAGGAGTTATGCCTGGCTGTGAATACATGCTCCCTTTGCCCTGACGTGGCAGGAAGGAGGGAAACAGCCTTGACTCTTACAGAGAACACGAGAACTCAGCACTGTAAATCTTGGCAGGTTGAGGGGGGACACACAAGTGCCTTCACCCCCATTCTGGGGGACTTGCTTCCAGAGAAGTATTTAAAACAAGGTACGAGAGAATAACCGTCTAGGACAATGACAGCTGATTAGGTTTGCTTTGTTCTACTCCATGCAATACAAACTAAGTCCTATCACCAACTTCTCCAGCTGCGGTGCAGACCCACGCATCAGGCTAAGAAGTTCCACAGGCATACACACACTCACACACCCAAAACAGTGGGGGCAAATGGGTTTAACTGTTGAGAATGTGCTTTCTCTTAATAATAAAAAAAAATATATATATATATTAAAACCAACTTCAAAAACCCACTGATGGTGAAGCCGCTGCTGAAGAAGGAAGTAGCTATGGGGCCTTGGTTGTGTTTCCAGACAATCCAGGGCTGACTAAAGCAGTGGTTGGCTCCCTTCTGGCTTGCCAGGCAGTTTCTATAAGCTGTTCCCTTTGTTTTTGCTTGCTGCTTTGTTTGTTTTACAGTGACAAATGTGACTGCGATACAGAAATTAACGGACTGAAATGAAAAAGGAATGGGCCATTCTGGAGACATTCGGATTGGTATTTTCCCCTTTCCAATGATAAAAAAAATACCCAACAACAAAACAAACAAAAGTAAAATAAAAAACCCAAGAAGTTAGTAGTACTAATACAACCCTCCTGCTGCTGTTGTCTTTGCTCAGTGACATCGGGGCATGCTGGCGCACACACACACACACAGGCAGCTCTCAGACACTCGGACTCAGAAAAGCGAGTTTAGAACTGAAGTGAGTCTTCGGAGGAGACTGAGGACAGGTCCCAGGGCTAGAAGGTTTTTCGGTGGATGGCACGAGCTCCGTCTTCTTCATATTCTTTTTTCGAAACCCACATTTTCTTAAAGGTGTCCAGTGAGGCCAGGATAGAGCCGCTGGGGAGAGACAGTATGGGTTAAAAGACAACGTTGGCAGCACTCTCATCGTATCTCCACAGAGGTGAGCTCTTCCTATTGCACGATGCTTCCCCATATCAGAAAGCTGCTGAGGCTATCTACAACTGAAACACTCTGGACAGCCACTTCCTCTCCTGTTGGCCTCAGATGTGCCAGCACTGGAGCCTGCCACCAGCTCCCCCTCCCAAACAACCTGCTGGTTGCTGACCATCGTGCAGGCGAACAAACCCTCCTGACCACTTAAGGAACAATAGTGCAAGTGTGTCAGGCTGTGCCTCCCTAGCCCCCATCCCACAGCAAGATGTGCCATCATGTACTACGTACCCAATCCACGTGGAATACAATCTCTCCTGAGGAGCTGATATCTGGGAGAAAGAGAGAATCGGTCAGCACCTTCCCAGGCTCCAGACTGCTCCTCCTGGCATGCTGCCCCCATTCCACTATGGCTAACAGCTGACAAACACAGGTATGATCTCTCCCACCAGAGGGACACCCAACAGCACCCCTTGAAACAGCCACTGTGGTCCAGGATCCTGGACAGGGGCCACGTTGTCAGAGAAGCCACCCTCTCAGTGATGAAAACAGTTTTTCATTGAAACAACAAATACTGCTGGGCTGTCTCAGGGAAGTCATTTCTGGTTTGAAGCAAATGGCAGCTGCACTCTCAGCATGGTTCTTTAAAGGTGACAGAACACTACATGCAGGAAGCATAAACACAGAGAGATTGCTCCTACCCTTATTTTGACGTCCTTCGGAGCTAGTTTCTTCACTTCACTCAACAGCCTGTCACCAAAGCCTGCGCAAGACAAAGTGTGGAGTGTGAGCTCCTCGGCCAAATCCCAGGTTCCATCTGCTAACAATGTGGACTTGTCCTATGCAGCCCTACTCAAATTTTCCACTCCAGATCCCACAGACAGACCAGTTTGGAAAGGCACAGAACACAGCCAGCAACATAAAGGGATCTGATCTCACTCAGACCCATTTCAAACAAAGCACACTGGGTTCCACCCCTAAGCAGCAACTTGTGAGGAGCAAATAGGACTTTTAGCCAGGACCTCCTTGTTCCCTGTGCGTTCCTCCTGTGTTCAGCCCATGTGTATAGGGGAGCAGTGTTTAAATGGGAAGACCAGGAGCTATCTGGAGATGTCCATCTGTGAGTAACAGGTCAACAGGTTCTGGCAGAGGACATCTTTAAGTCAATGGGGACTACCTGAGCACCAAGGGGAGGGGTAGAAAGCTTTCTGCACAC